CCCCAAAACCCCAAAACCCCAAAACCCCAAAACCCCAAAACCCCGGATTTTAGGTGGTGGATTGAGTGAATTTGGAGATGGGGTTATTGAGAGAGGATCTGTCTGGTTTGTTGGACGATGCTTTCTGGCTTGCAGATGGCAACTCTGATGAAGTTGTCGATCATGTCTTTCTCTTTTTCGATACAGAAGGAGGATCCTGGCATTATGGTGATTCCTTTGTTTATACAGAACCATCTGGCGAATGCGTAATCGAGGGGGACTTTGTTTTTGAACTCTCTCTGGATTACTAAGGTATCTTTGTCATCTTCGTAGTTTCCTGGGGTCAAAAATTGGTCTGGGATGAGGCTCCTAGCAGCACTTGCATCAAGCAACACAAAGTATCCTCCTTCACATACAGTCGGAGTAAAAGGAATTCCAGAATTCATAAAGATATCAACCATATCATCTTTTGATTTTGCAAATGTGCTTCTGACGTATTCTGGGTATGAGTTATATCCTTCAAAAGGCTGATTAAGAAGGTCTAGGGATCTTGCAATAGCAACCTGCCCAGGTACGTTCAGATTAAAAATCGAAGATTCATGCATAAGGGCTGCTTCTCTCGTGAGATCAGGAGGTGCTATCAAAAATCCAACTTTCCATCCAGTACAATTCATAAGTTTACCTCCAGAGTAAATTGTGATAGTCTTTTTCCAATTATCTCCAACATTAGCAAACATTTCATAATCTTGATCATAAGTGAGGAAGTCATAGACGTCATCAGAAATCACATATGCTTGAGGGGCCTTTTCTTCTAGAAGTTCTGTGATTCTTTCAATCTCTTCTTTCCTTAAGCATTTTCCTGTGGGGTTATGAGGATTTGTCAAAAGCACAACCTTTGTTTGTGGTCCTAAAGATTCTTCAAAGGTATCCCAGTCATACTCAAAGTTGAGAGCTGATCCATCCTCTGTAGGGGAAGTTTTGAGAGGGATTGTTCTGAACTTTCCTCTTCCAAGCTTAGTGATAGACATATAATTAGGATAGAAAGGTTCAAAAGTAAGAATCTCTTCTCCATGGTCTACCAGATTTACAATGGCATTGTTTAAAGCGCTACTTGCTCCTACTGTGACAAGGATCTCAGTATTTGGATCTAAGTCTCTGTTAATTGCTGGTTTAAATCTAGGGGAGTAGAACTTCGAAAGAGCTTCTCTTAGTTCAGGATGGCCTTGAACTGCAGTATATTGATTATTACCTTCTCTAACTGCCTTAACCATATTCTCAATCAGAAATGGAGGAGCATCTATCCCTGGAGTTCCATGAGCAAGATTGAGAGCATTATATTTCAAAGAAAGCATATTGAATTCACTCCAAATATGGAGCATGTTATCCAGCTTTTTGGGAAGATTCTTGTACATCTTTAAATTTAATCTTATTTTGTTCACACTGGGGTTTTGGGGTTTTGGGGTTTTGGGGTTTTGGGG